AACGGGATCGCAACCCTCGGTGTCGCGCCCGCACAGGGGACCAGCAACGGGATCGCAACCCTCGGTGTTGCGCCCGCACCGTGCTCAGCCAGTGAGTGGGAACCGGTCTCCACGTGGGATCCGAACCCTCGGCGGGAGCGCCGCCGCGCTCCCAAGCGGCGCACTCTCCAGCGCGCCACCCGGCCGGCCCAATCACTTTCTCTTCTAGTGCTCCACATTCATAACAAGCCAGAGAGGCCTCAACCAGACATATTCCTTTCCCTCACAGTATCTTCTGCCCATCTGAGATTGGGGACAGAGTGGAGAATGAGTCATGTTTGGAGAATGGGTTATGTTTAATTAGGAAAGTTCCTGTTGTGGGTCACGGGCCCTGGTTCTGGTCTGGTCTCTGCCACCGAGGATTGATGTGACTGTGGGCAAGCCGCTTGCCTTCCTTTATCTGTGAAATGAAAGGGTTGAATTGATGGATCTCTAAAGGCCTTTGTCCTCTCCCAGGATGTGAGAAACTAGGAACCAGAAAAGGGAACAAGCAAAAAAGACAGAATTCTATAATGTGATGTATAATAAAATAATAATTGCAGAAACTTCATATAAGCTAACAATGAAAGGATATTTTTGTATATTTATAGCATAATTCATTTTTAATGTGGTCTATTACACTTTTATAGTCACAGAAAAAATGATTATACATGCTTACTCAGATTTTTTAAAAATACATTTGTTATAGGTACCCTTGAGCAAAGACATTCTACCCGATTTTTCTTTTTCCTTATCCCCATTTCTATGTATCCTCCACTAGTGCTGGGGTCTGCTCACATCTTTTTGCAGTGCGCCTCCTCATGGCTATGAACCAAAATGTTCCATGAGGAATTTGCAAGTGAGTCAAGCCTTAGTCATGTGTTTGTGTGTATGTGTGCTTATGTGCACATGTGTAGATATAGATACATACAAAGGGAAATTCTGGGAAATTTTGCCTCAGGCTAGGGAGCTTCCATTTCCTCAGTGTGTCTTATTGCCCACCCTGGAGCATCACACAGAACAATTTGAGCTGTGCCTTATGTCACTTAGGAAAACCCAATGCCACATGGCCTAAACCATAAGGTAAAATTATTATCTATCTTAAGAGGTCCCCAAAGTATGGTGGCTGTTTTAGTCTGTTTTGTGTTGCTATCACAGAAATACCTGAGACTGGGTAATATATAAAGGAGAGAGAGAGGGAGAGGGAGAGGGAAAGAGAGGGAGAGAGGGAAGGTGTCAGGGTCTTTTTAAGCAACGAGCTCTCGCGGGAACTAATAGAGCCAGAACTCACTCATTAATCCCCCCTCCCCCAGGGAGAGCATTAATCCATTCATGAAGGATCCGCCCCCATGACTTAGTCAGTTCCCAGCACTGCCACATTGGAGATCAAATTTCCACATGAGTTTTGGAGGGGACAACACATCCAAACTCCATCGGCTTAAGGGTGTTGTTAAAAACCCAGGTTCAGGGCGGGCCCGTGGCTCACTCGGGAGAGTGTGGTGCTGATAACACCAAGGCCATGGGTTCAGATCTCTATATAGCGATGGCCACTTGGCTCACTGGGTGAGCATAGTACTGACAACACCAAGTCAAGGGTTAAGATCCCTTTACTGACCATCTTTTAATAAAAACCAAACAAAAAAAACCCCAGGTTCTTACATACTACAGAATATTATTCAGCCTTAAAAAGGAATAAAATCCTGATGCATGCTACAGCATGGACGAACTTGGAAAACATTATGCTGAGTAAAATAAGCCAGACACAAAAGGACAAATATATGATTCCACTTATATGAGACACAAGTCCTAGAGACATGAATTATAGAGGTTACCAGAGGCTGGGGGAGGGAGGAATAGGGAGTTAGTCAATGAGTACAGAGTTTCCTTTTGGGGTGATGAGAAAGTTCTGGAATTGGGTAGCGTTGATGGTGTACAACATTGTGAATGTACTTAATGTCACTGGATTGTACACTTAAAAATGGTTAAAATGGTAAGTTTTATGTATATTTTACCACAATAATAATTTAAAAAGTAAAAAAAACAAACCCAAGTCTTTCCTATCTTTCTGCTCTGCCATTCTTAGCGTTTTAGTTTTGCTCTCCACCAAATTATACCATGGCTGCTCCAGTGTCAGACACCAAATACAGGCATGACAGTGCCCAGCCTAATAAGGTAATGGGAGCAGTCCACCCAAGTAGAAAAAATATTTCATCACTGCATCTTTGAAAATTGCGGATACCTGGTGTTAATAGGGAACCATCTGACTTCCAGCTGGTTTTATTATTTTAAAATTCTCTCCACCCATACCAGGGTGTTCCCCCTCCACCCCAACACCACTGCTGAGGAGTCCCATTTCTGTCCTTTAAAAATTATGCTCCTAAGCAAGACACCTAACCTTTCCGGGTCTCAGTGTCCTCATCTCAAAATAAAGATAATAATACCTCCTAGAAAGGGTTATTTTGAGGATTAAATAACATAGTGCTTCACACATAGCTACGACATCTATGCTACTAGAACTATTATTGTTGCCTACACACGTTTAATCTGCAACATGGGATGGGGGAGAAGGCAAGATGAGTTTACAGCTACCCATGACCCTATTCTTGGGACGCTTGCAACTTGTAGGAAATAGATTTTAGACAAAGCAAAAGAGATCGGGGCCTTGTCTCCCTGTGCAGTACAGTTCCCCTCTGGCGCTGAGAAGAGAGAGCAGCTCCATGCTTAGCCAGAGCCAGAGCTGTCGATGTGGGCGTGGCTGCGGGGGGCGCTGGTGGAGGCAGGAGGCAGCAGCAGGGCCCCACACAGGAGGAATGTCGGGCCTGAACTAGAAGACCTGGAAAATGGAGCCCAGGAGCACCAGCTTTGAAGCCAGTTCAGGGTTAGAATGGCTCAGATGCAGATGCCTTCAGCTGTGTTTTGTTGCTTCTCACACTCAGAAAGGGCAGATTAATTTTGTATACATTTGGGCTTGTAATTGATTTAATTTAGCCCTTTTCTGGGTCACAGCAACTCTCAAATAATTTTGCCTCATTTGGTAATAGGCTGGATGAAGTCGAGTTATACTGTCCCCTTGCGCTGGCTGGAGAAGGCTATAAGAGAAGCTCTGATCTGCTTTGCTCCTTTCTTTCTTAACTTGATTTCTACCTTGAATTCAACAGGTTGCTTGGGGGGTTAATCCTTTCCAACAAAAGTTAGGGCTGTTTTCCTTTTCGGTTTCTTGTCCTTCAATTTCGCAGCTCCTAAAGCACTGGTTGGAAAAACCTCCTCATGCATGGGGAATGACACCACTAGAGATAGAAACAACCTCCTTGGGCCCTTTCATGCCACTGCAGCCTATTCTTAAACCCTGATGGAGTTTGGATGTATTGTCTCCCGCAAAACTCATGCAGGAATTTGATCCCCAGTGTGGCAGTGCTGGGAGCTGTTTGAGTTATGGTGGCGGATCCCTCATAAATGGATTAATGCTCTCCCTGGGGGAGGGGAGATTAATGAGTGAGATCTCTATTATTTACCGCAAGAGCTGGTTGTTTAAAAGATCCTGGCACCTCCTCTTTCTCTCTCTTGCTTCCTCTTGCCATATGATCTGCTTGTACCTGCCAGCTGTCTGCCTACTGCTTTCCACCATGAGTAGAAGCAGCCTGAGGCTTGCCCCAGGTGCAGCTGTTGCAGAATCATGAGCCAAATAAACCTCTCTTCCTTATAAATTACCTAGTCTCAGGTATTTCTGTTATATAAACACAAAATGGACTAATACAAACCCCAAGTCCTGTTGCTCATTGTGGGTGTTGTTCCAAAGCCTGTAAAAGCCCAATCACTTTGTTTTGCCAAGCCATCTCTCTGCCCAGCAGAGGACTCTGCAAGAAAGAGATCAAAGTGGTTTTCATAGACTCATTGTGGGGGAAATGTGAGTTGCGTCCCAAGTGCCTAAGGATGTAGACAGTTTCAGTATCAATACCCAATTCAAGAGAATCATTTCAGTGCACGTAAAGAATCTCAGGTTCTTTACCTGTGCAGTTTGCAGGTAAATAATCTCAGTGCAGGCAAAGAAACCACATGTCACACTGTTAAGTAAGGCTGTTTCCAGCTTTGGATAAAGCCTGTTGATTGTGACCGGGGTGGGGCTGGCCCGCGGCTTGTGAGAGGCTGTGGCCATGGCTGCTTTGCTGCAAGGTGTCCTGGGCAATCAGAGCTGCCTCTGGGCTTTCTTCCTCTTCACAGTCTCGCAATGCCTGGCCTTATGTCACCTGCCAGGCTTTCACACTTGGGACTGTACCCTCCATGCTTGTGGATGGTCTGAAAGGCAAGGAGGAAATTTCAGGAAGCTGCCAAGCACCTGATGAAATGAAGCCATGGCATCTGGAAATTAACATCCTTAAGCCAATGAATAAAAGCCATGAACATGAAAACCGATGTTGTTGTCCATGAACTAGAAATGTCTTATAAGATCCCAAGTAGAAAACTTTACCCAAGTTTGAACATTTAGTGGCTGGATAAGAACAACCTTCTTATACATATACATTTTTATTCTAAGTCATAATAAGCAATCCTCATTATCAATGAACATGTTAAGTTTGAATTGGGGTAAGTAGTACTTGAACCTGTCATTAATTAATAACTCGGAGCATAAAAATTATTTGATTAAAAGCTCAAGTTAACTTGTTAAAGAAGAAAAAACGGTTGCTGTCCCTTCAGCTTTGCCAGCGCACTGGTTCTCACATGATGTACTCCCACATCTACACCCTCCACATCTCCCTGCCTTTCAGGCATGACCAGGAATTGTTCTGGGGGAAGTAACTCCTTTATCTAGTATAGCACTCCTCCCCTTCTCTTCCAATAAGGCGAGTTCTGAGTCATTTTACTCTGAGGTGAGTAAATAGGAGTGCTTTTATTAGCAAATAACAGGAACCTACATTTAAGCAGTTTCATAATCTAATTAGGATTGTTCCATCTACCTACTCAAACTACAGGTTTAAAACAAGGACATTAGGGCTGGCCGGTTAACTTAGCTGGTTAGAGTGTGGTGTTAATAACACCAAGGTCAAGGGTTCGGATCCCCTACTGGCCAGCTGCCAAAAACAAAAACAAAAAACCAAGGAAAGTACTTCTTTCTACAATTTGAAGAAGAGCTCTACAAACTAGCTCCTTTCAGAGGATTTCCATGGATATATTGAACAGGACACATAATCAGCTTTACAAATTTCTATTTATAAATAACACGATCACATGGAAACGTTCTAAAATTAGATTGTGGTAATAGTTGCACAATTCTGAAAATATACTACAAACCATTGAGTTGCAGACTTTGAATGGGTAAATTGAATGGTTCAATATAAAACCTAAAAAAAACACTCAAGCAAAAACAACAACAAATGCTACAGTGATTTGAAGACACAATTTGGCAATGGCTGGCAATGTGGAAGATGAGCATATCTTGCGAACCTAATGGTTCAATATAAAACCTAAAAAAAACACTCAAGCAAAAACAACAACAAATGCTACAGCGATTTGAAGACACAATTTGGCAATGGCTGGCAATGTGGAAGATGAGCATATCTTGCGAACCTAGCAATTCCATTTGGCAATGGCTGGCAATGTGGAAGATGAGCATATCTTGCGAACCTAGCAATTCCTTCACTGGATTTTTACCCTAGAGAAACTCTCCGACAGGTACCCAAGGAAGCATGTGTAATCAGAGTGCCTACTGCAACAGTTTTTGTAATAGTGAAAAACTGGAAACAATCTAATTGTCCATCAGTAGGAGAATGCAGAAATACATTATTGTTGGGTTCATACAATCAAATACTATAGAGTATTTAAAATAATTAACAAAGCTACATACTTGACCGTGGGTAAATCTCAAAAACATAATGCTGGGAAGGGGAGTAAATTATAGAATAATATAGACAATCTGATACCATTTGTTTAAAGTCTTAAAACATACAAAACAGCACTATATTTTCAATGGATACATACATTGGTGATGGTATATTAATTTCCATGCTCTTCTGTTTTAAAGAGTTCATAATCATTTTTTAAATTAGCCCACACTTGTAGTCATGTTAGGTGCTGTAGAAGTTCCTCACACATGCAATGATTTGAGGAATGAAAAAAAAAGAGGAAGACTGTCAACCGATAAATAAATTGTATATCAGTAATAATAGGTTTCATTTTTTATCACCTACTGTGCCAGGCACTTAAGTTACATTATCTCCAATATTCTTCAAATTTTTACATGGTTAGTCTTATCATGTTCAATATTAGTCCCAGGAAACTGAAGCTGGAGACATAAGTAATATGCCCAAGATCACAGGCTGGTAGGTAATGGAGTCATTGAAATACCCAGTGGTCTGGCTCCAAAGCCTGGTGGGTTTTAGGCTCCATAATTCTGCTTCTCAATGGATCTGTCTGCTTTTCCCACGGTGGAGAATCTTAGGAGAGCTCAGTAGTACAAAGAGAAAGCCATAGGAATTTCTAAGTGAGAACAAGAAAAAGCATGGTGAGGTTGTCCTAATTTTAGTCTTCTTTGCCTAGTATGAGAAACTCATGACTGGGTGCCAGGAGCTCTGTGTCCCAATTCCACTGCTCTGCTGTCTTGCTAACTTTTTTCAGTCTTCTGTTTTCTCCTCCAGAAGACTCAATGTGTTGCAGTAGCTGATTTCTAACATTTTTCTAGCTGTACAATTGTTTGTGAACTCTTAAGATCTCGTCAATTCTAAAATGCTTTCCTTCCCCACTTCCACTTTTGAACAAGCATCACTCAGCACTTCTCTTTCACAGACTCCATGACTTTTGGACATAGCTATGTTATAAACATGATGCCCTCCCAGGACACCCTATCTATGTCTAGGACAAAAAGAGGATGGTAGTGTCATTTAGCTCTGAACAAAAAGTCCACTGTGCTTGACATGGTAATTTAGAGTGTTGCTTAGGACTCCTGTTTTGTTTTACTTTTTTATTTTCTTCCTTTGCTCACACCAGATGATACATATGTTAAATGAAACACTTGCTTTGATTTATAGGGAGGAAGAAAATGAGTGGGACTAGTGTTTGTTTTGGAGAGTTAGTGTTGCATAGCTCCTGGATGCATATCACTACATGTTTTTCTGTATTTTTAGAATAAAAATCTTGTTCAGCAATGTAGGAGACATTAACTAAGGCGAACAAATATAGACATCTACATACACTGTGATCTGTGTTTCGGGATGGGATAGAACTAGCAAAAATTATTTTTCATGTTTAGATCATACCATATATAAAATTACTATGACATAAAATGCCATGTGTGGACTGTGCAGACTGTGCAGCCACATTATGAGTTCAATCTTAATTCTGCCATTTATTTGTTGGATAACTTTGGACAAATTAGTTAATCTTTCTATGCTTCAGTTGCCTCATTTGTAAAATGGAATCATAGTAATGACTACCTCTTAAGTTGTTGTGAAAAGTGAGTGAGTTGATACAGGTAGTCCTTAAGACAGGGGGAGTAAGCCATTCTCAGAAGTCACTTTCATCCTCACTTTGCCAATTATTCATGGCTGATTAGCTAAGCAATTAGATCCAGATCTTGACACCTGCCCTGCTTTTTCCCTTCCAAGCCAAATGGATTTCTTTCCTCTAATAAGATTGCCTAAAGCCCAGGAACAATCCATCTGCCACTTAAGAATAAATTTACTGCTTTTAACTTAGGAAAAAATAACGATCTCTATGGAGAAGAGCGCCACCTTGTGGCTGGCCTCATACACACCGCTTCCTTCTAGGTTTGGTTCGGTGGCTGAGGCAGGAAGGCATCCAATTGCTGGAGCACATCCAGGAGAGAGAACTCAAGGGCTCGTGCTCTAAAGCGGGGATGACGTAAAGATCTGCAATCACAGATCCAGCGACTCCAATATTTTCTTTGTTTCGTTGAGTTTTATATTTGCTAAAGAACTGGAAGGCTCCCAGCCATTCATTCATTGGTCAGTTTAAGCACGCGCTGTAGTAGCTTCTCCATTGCTAGCAAACAAGGAGAGGGAGGTGAGGGCAGCTCTAGGCTTGACTTCAGCTGCCAGAGAAATTCTGGCACTTGTTGGTGCTCTGCTACGTGGTTGGCATGGGGAGTAGATAATTTAGGCTCCCTAACAATTGGGGATTTAGGTGAACAATAGGTCCTGGTTATTAGCCTTTTGCTGAGATATTTCTTTTATTCTTCTTCGGACTGCCTCATTAGGACCCAAGCTATTTTTTTGTGGTTACAGGGGCCTACTCAAATTGAAACATTTTAGTTATATTTACTTTTTAAAATAGTTAATACATTCATACATATCGAAATTCAAAAGGTGCGATGAAACAAACCAGTTTCCATTCTCAAAGCCCATTAATATTACCAGCTCCTTGTGAGTTCTTCCAAAGACACTTCATGCATAGACAAACAACAACACATACACATTTGTGCATATATTATACAGGTATCTATCTGTATCTATCTATCTATCTATCTCAGGTGTCATCTTATACCAATACATGAAGATCTTCCTCATTTCATTCTTCTTACTGACTGCCTAAATTTAATTGTTTCAATGTATCATAATTTATTTTAACCAGTCCCTATCAATGGCCTTTTAGGTTGTTTCTAATCTTTTGCTATTACAATATCCTTATAACAAATAACCTTACATATGTGAAAATTTGCACATGTATAAATGAATATATCAGTAAGATGAAAACCTAGAAATGGACTTGCTGGGTTAATGAGCATGTGTATATGAAGTTTTTATAGATGCTCCCCAAAAGTTGCATCAATTTATATTCCCACAAGCCCTATATGAGAGTGCCTGTTTCCCCAGATCTTTCCAAGAGCATGTCACTAAAATTTTTAATCTTTGCCAATCTAATAGGTAAAAAACAGTATCTCAGAAAAAAATAGTGTCTCCTAGAAGTTTTAATTGGAATTTTTAAAAATCATCTTTACATATGTTTAAGAAACTTTGATATTCCCTTTTCTGTGAGATATCTGTGTGTACCCTTTACACAAGTTTCTACTGAATTATTAGTCTTCCCATATTGATTTAAAGGAGATCTTACATGTTGGATAAATTAGCCCTTGTCTATGATTTAAGTTGCAAGTATTTTTCTCAGTGAAGGTTTTGACTTTGCTTATGGTAGTTTTTTCCCCATGTAGGTATTTTTTTATTTGTAAATACTGGAATTTATCAATTTTTTTCTTTTATCTAAGTTTTTGTTTTCCTTCTTTTCAGTTTTGTTCATACTTAGGATGAACTTCTGCATGTGAAGTGTCTTTAAAATTTTTCCTCTGGTTTCTTCTAATACCTTTATGGTTTTATTGTTCCCATAAAGTCTTTGACTTGTATGAAATTTACTCTGGCATAAGGTGGGAGATATGGATCTACTTACTTGTTTTCCAAATGCTCTAACACCCTTTTGTAATAATCTATCTCTTCTCACTAACTTTAAATGTCACCTTTACTATCTACTAAGTGTTCATATGTGTATTTTGGACCTATTTCTGGATTCCACAGCCTGTCCTATGATCTGTCAATCTATTTAAGCATCATTATCATACTGTTTTAATTACTGTAGCTTTATAATATACTTTAATATCTCAGGAAGCTAGTTCAACCTTATTACTCTTCATTTTTAGAATTTTTCTTCTCCTATACTTGCTTATTGACTATTGTATGTGGTATAAAATATTAATTTTAAAACGTTAATATTAAAATATGCTTAAATAGCTATAACAATTCTTTTGTTACTTTCCTTAGGACTGTACTACATTTATGGCTTAGCTTAAGAAGATTTGATATCCTTCTGATGCTATGTCATCAAATCTAAGAACACCTTATGCCAAAAAGCATCATGAATATACCATCCCTGGGAGCTTTTAACAAAAATGCCAATCTTTTGTATGCATTAGGTGTGCCAAGTCTTTAAAGAAGGCCTGGCACTAGTGCACCAATAATATTTGCTTTAGGACTTGAGCAAAACATTTTGTCTCTGTATTATGGTTATGTCTCTAAAGTTAGTAGTAAGCATTTTTAACTTAAAAATATGTATTAAGAACCTTAAAAA